CGCACAGAGACCCATAGAGTCACGTGGGGGATCCATAGATTCGCGTGCACCCTTAGACTCCCACGTAGACCATCATAGAGCCATGAACTGGGAGATCCATAGACTTCCGTGGACTCGCACAGAGACCCAGAGACTCGCGCATAGACCCAGAGACTCGCGCATAGACCCAGAGACTCGCACATAGACCCAGAGACTCGCACAGAGACCCAGAGACTCGCACAGAGACCCAGAGACTCGCACATAGACCCGGAGACTCGCGCATAGACCCAGAGACTCGCGCATAGACCCAGAGACTCGCGCATAGACCCAGAGACTCACACAGAGACCCAGAGACTCGCACATAGACCCAGAGACTCGCGCATAGACTCGCGCATAGACCCAGAGACTCGCACAGAGACCCAGAGGCTCGCACAGAGGCCCAGAGACTCGCACATAGACCCAGAGACTCGCACATAGACCCAGAGACTCGCACATAGACCCAGAGACTCGCACATAGACCCAGAGACTCGCACATAGACCCAGAGACTTGCACATAGACCCAGAGACTCGCACAGAGACCCAGAGACTCGCACAGAGACCCAAAGACTCGCACATACACCCAGAGACTCGCGCATAGACCCATGAACTCGCACATAGACCCAGAGACTCGCACAGAGACCCAAAGACTCGCACATAGACGCAGAGACTCGCACAGAGACCCAGAGACTCGCACATAGACCCAGAGACTCGCACAGAGACCCAGAGACTCGCACATAGACCCAGAGACTCGCACAGAGACCCAGAGACTCGCACATAGACGCAGAGACTCGCACAGAGACCCAGAGACTCGCGCATAGACCCAGAGACTCGCACATAGACCCAGAGGCTCGCACAGAGACCCAGAGACTCGCACAGAGACCCAGAGACTCGCGCATAGACCCAGAGACTCGCACATAGACCCAGATACTCGCACATAGACCCAGAGACTCACGCATAGACCCAGAGGCTCGCACAGAGACCCGGAGACTCACGCATAGACCCAGAGGCTCGCACAGAGACCCAGAGACTCGCACATAGACCCAGAGACTCACACATAGACCCAGAGACTCGCACATAGACCCAGCGACTCGCGCATAGACCCATGAACTCGCACAGAGACCCAGAGAGTCGCACATAGACCCAGAGACTCGCACAGAGACCCAGAGACTCGCACATAGACCCAGAGACTCGCACAAAGTCGCGCTGTGCGCGTCTCTCGGCGTGGCTCTGCGGGGCTGTGGCCACGCCGTCTCCCACCGGGGGGCGCTGTCGTCTTGCCGGCGACAAAGCGGCGACCTCGAGGACTCTCACCGAGCACCGTGAACTTGCATCGAGATCCAGAGCCTCGCAGTCCCGTAGCCAGCAGCACGCCCGGCCGCCTTTGTCTCCCCAGTGGCGACGTTTACACATCACACCAGCTACTCGTTTGAGGCTGAGTCTACCTAGGGGGCAGGTTCATAGCACAATGCGCTCACCGGATTACACACAACACCTACAAGCGCATGTAATGATAGAGTTATCAACGGTGTGTGCAGTCGGGAGTTGTCGGTCCTTTAAAGGGACTAGGAATGTGGAATTTCCACCTCTAGCTGAGGGCAGCTCTGAGGAACGAGTTCTGCCCAGAGGTCGAGAGATACAGACAGAGAGAGACAGACAGACAGCGAGACAGTGAGAGACAGACAGACAGAGAGAGACAGACAGCGAGAGACGGACAGAGAGACTTTGACTTTTAAACAATTATTGCTGCCAGCAGCAACAGCACTGGAGCTGATTCCGATATGAAATACACAAAGTCACCAGCAACACAAATACACAAAGTCACCAGCAACACAAACACACAAAGTCACCAGCAACACAAATACACAAAGTCACCAGCAACACAAACACACAAAGTCACCAGCAACACAAATAATAAACGCTATAAATCCACGCGCTGTGGCGCTAAATGCACCGCGCACAACACGAAATCAAAGTCACGTGGTGGTGGTGGTCATCGCGCACGCCACGTGACGAGCGAGCGCTACAGAAGGTGAACACGTGGGGTGCCGTCCACGCTGGTACAGAGAGGGGCTTGTCCGGCTCCTCAACGTTGGAACAAGACGCGCTGCACGTCACCGACACGTGTGCGTGGTACGTGGCGTGCTCCAGCCAGAGCTGCACCTTGAGCAGGCCTCTGAACACCGGAAGCGCCACAGAGCAGCCGTCAGTGTCACCTTGCAGCTCGTTCTGTACACCGCCAACTTCGCCTGAGCACAGGCGAAGTTGTCATGGCGCTTGTTATCCAGGTAAGGCACCACCCCATATACGAAGCCGCTGTTGTAGAAGGGCACCCCCAGTTTCCTGAAGATGTCCCCCAAAATGCGGGACTTTGGTTTGAGCCGCTGGCAGTGTAAGTACCGGTGGGGCAGATCCTCCCTGGCACCGCAGGAAATGCACAAGTCTGAGAGAAAGACAGACAGAGAGAGACAGACAGACAGAGAGACAGACAGAGAGAGACAGAGACAGAAAAGGGAGGAGGAGCAGGAGGAGGTGACGACTGGAAGTGGTGGGTGACGAGGTGAGGAGGGCGAGTGGTGAGTGACGAGGTGGGATGAGGGGAGCTTGAGCCCTTGGACAGAGAACGCAACAAGTTTGTGTCTTTATTTACGTAATAAGTCTCAGGTACAATGCGAGTCTTGCATCACAAAGCACGACTCTAACCACGTCTTGACCACAGTGAATGTCACAACCAGAAGACTTGAGACCGGAGGAACCCGACGAGCTACGATCAGCACGGCCAGTCGGGGGCGCGACATCAACTCACAACGAACAACACGAACACAAGGGGCGCAGAATCGATACACAAAGACGCGACATTCGATGTTTAAAACATGGCCCCGAGTTGTATAAGAACAGTGTATAAATATTCAACAATATTTCATATCACCGAGCGAAGTACTTCATGTCAGACGTTCCGGGACGTCTGCGAGGTCCCCCTGAAGGCGCGAGAGAGGCCGCAGCTGAGAGGTCCACCCGGCACTGCGCGTGGGGGAGCCAGGCATGGCCCCCCCCCTCCCCCCTTAGTGAGTCACACGCAGACCCCCACAACGCTCACTCACGCTGCACCAGCACCGCACCACTCACCGGCCCTCTCGAGCAGGGCCGTGATATCCCATAGGTCACAGTAGGCACTTTGCATAGGGTCCACCCACCCAGCCACTCACCCACCCACCCAGCCACTCACCCACCCACCCACCCAGCCACTCACCCACCCACCCAGCCACTCACCCACCCACCCAGCCACTCACTCACCCACCCAGCCACTCACCCACCCAGCCACTCACCCACCCACTCACTCACCCACCCAGCCACTCACCCACCCACCAGGGCCGTGCTATCCCATAGGTCACAGTAGGCACTTTGCATAGGGTCCACCCATCCAACCACTCACCCACCCAGACACTCACTCACCCACCCAGCCACCCACCCACTCAGCCACTCACTCACCCACCCAGCCACTCACCCACCCAACCACTCACTCACCCACCCAGCCACTCACTCACCCACCCAACCACTCACCCACCCAGCCACTCACTCACCCACCCAGCCACTCACCCACCCAGCCACTCACTCACCCACCCAGCCACTCACTCACCCACCCACCCAGCCACTCACCCACCCAGCCACTCACCCACCCAGCCACTCACTCACCCACCAGGGCCGTGCTATCCCATAGGCCATAGTAGGCACTGTGCCGAGGTTCTACAAAATAAAATGGACCCGTGTTGTTTTTTGTTATCGTTTAAAATGAACGGCATACTTTTGAATCTGCGTCATCCGATGTAATCGCAGTAAAATTTTTTATAAAACACGTTTGCTTATAATATTTTTAGGAATACCTTGTTTGAATTGTTTCAATAATTTAAAATGAAATCCATTTATCTGCGGCACACTTCCGCACACCCTCCCATCGAATGAGGGCACAGACTAAATCGTGAACCTGCCATCAGTAACGACATCTGTCCAGCGGCTGGGCGAAGTAGCGACGCGTGAAGCGAGTGGAGTGACAGCGGTGGTCGTGACATGGGGCAGCAGCAGCATGATCTGTAGAGAGTTATCACTCAAAGTGCCTACGTGACATGGGACAGCAGTAGCAGCAGCAGCATGATCTGTAGAGAGTTATCACTCAAAGTGCCTACGTGACATGGGGTAGCAGTAGCAGCATCTGTAGAGAGTTATCACTCAAAGTGCCTACGAAACTGCAGTGCCGAGGGCCTAACAAGAACTTGAATCCGGCCCTGCTCTCAACAAATCCACACCACAGGCAGACCTCGCTGAGCGCGACCCACCGGTAGGATGCCTGGAGAGGAAATGTTTACTGGGGATAAAAATCTAAAAATCTACAAAGCGCTTAACGGAATGAGAAGGCAGCAGCAGCATTGGCCGAGGAAACGTTGCCGCCCACAAAGTCGCTCAGCCAATGAGAGCGACACACCGGTGTCAGCCAATCAGACCCCACCCGTCCCCCTCGCGATTCTTCCATCATCACGATTGGTAATTACAATTTTAATAAATTAAGAATCGCTTTGTTTAGCGAGGTGAGAGAGAGAGATCTTGACTTGAAGCTTTCGTGACTACAGGAATCCATACTCTTTGGTTCTTTCGGTAAAGTCACGTAGGTAGAAAAATAAAACAATACTAATAATATATCACAACGTTTCGATCGTAACAAGCGGTTGTCCTCAGGCGGAAAAAATAATCCAGCAGTGGATTAGTTCGGCAAGTTCCAATGCTGGATTTACTTTACCAGCTAAGGCCCCGCTGAGCTATGTAGCTCTTTTGAAGAAGCGACCTGGATATCACAAATTATAGCTCAATGAAGTTGCTTATCACCACGTGGAAATGTAATGCAGCCAAATACTCTAAACGCACCTCGATTCTAAAAGTGGAGGGAAAAAAACCGGTGGATCCGGAGGAAAATCCACGCCACAGTGGGGAGAGAGAGAACGTGCAAACTCCAAATACACAGGCAGGTGTCAGGGTCGGGAGAGAACTCACGACCTCCTGTATACCAAGAGAGGTAGTTAACATCTTGCCATGGTGGCACCCACTATCGGGACCTGGTGGAGCAATTTCAGGATTGGGGTCACTTGGTTTCGTTCACGGACACTCTGAGAAATCCAGGAAAGAGAGGTGATGGAGTTGGAGACACACGAGAGAAATCCGCTAGAAAGTTACGGTTGTCAAGGCAAGAGGTGGCAAAGGCACGGTCTAAGGTTTCAAGTAAAACTTGGAACCCGGAGCACACGGGCAATTTGTGTGTGCGACCCGCTCCACGTGCCAACCAATCAGAAGGGGCATCGAGCTGCCTGACCATTACTTAACGGCCACGGTCTCCAATACTTGTTGTTGTCTCTCTTCGTGTCCGTTCATCAGCGGCTGCCCGTTCACGTCCCCATGCACGTCAGCATTTCCACCGTCACTGTGGAAATGAAAACAAACAGCAGGTTTACCAACCACGCGGTGCCTGCACACAGCAACGCGTGGACGCGTCTCGCCGGGAACGAGCAGAGGGCCTCAATGGCGCTCACGCTTTAATATCGGTTCGAGTCGGCAAGACCAAGGGGCTGAACCCAGGAGCTCGGTGCTGGCTCAGCGTCCCCGGCACGGCCGCTGTGAACCGCTCAGGAAGAGACCCAGCGGTGCGTGAACGTGAAACCTCGTCAGTGACACCGAGTGGGAGGCCACCGAGAGAGCTCAGCCCGGCTGCCCACGTCCACGCTCATTCATCAGGGGCTGGGCTGGGCGGTCCGGGTGCCTGGGATGGAGGGGGGGCGGGGGGGGGGGGGGCACCTGCGTGAGTGGGGGCAGGGCCATGAACACCGACGGTGATTCTTCTTCTTCCAGACGAAGACGGAGACGATGATGATGATGACAATGACAGCTAGAGGCACCAGGACCCAGGCAGCCACCACCCCTCCCTTGTGCGAGGTCTCCTCTAGAGGGGCGAGGGTGACGTCACTCACACCCCCACCGTGTGACCGTGGGGCTGCAGAGACACGGAGACAGAGAGGGGGGGGGGGCTCAGCGTGACCCCCACTCGCACCCAGCACCACAGCCCCACCCAGCGACGCAACACGGCTTCACGTGCAGCAGGGAGAGACCACTCACTCAACACGGCTTAACGTGACCCTTGACCTCCCGGCCTCAACCAGCACCGTGCACGTGCAAGTTCCCCCATAATCGCTTCATCGCAACGCGAACGTCACGCTCGGCTCTTGTTCACCTGCAGGCGTCACGTTCAGCAGCACCTCCCCTTGCACCTCGGTGTTCTCCGCGTTACATCGACGACAGTCGATGCGGCACAGAACCACGGGGCCGAGGTTCTTGGGGAAGTTGGGGATGCCGATGGAGCAGTCTCCCATCAGCACGTCTCCCACAGACTTCACGATACTCAATTCCTCGTTTTCATACCCCGATTGATAGATCTGCAATGACACAAACCACAATGTGTAAGGTCAACCACAACGGCACACGATGCCCACGGTCACATCGTCCTGAATGCCCCTGGGCTCGTTGAATGTCGCTGGCTAAGCAGGCTTGATGAGCTCGGTTACCACCTAGATGGGAGACCTCCTGGGGACACCAAGCGCTGTAGGCTTCGGTTGCAAGGCGACAAGGCGATGGCAAAATATCAACGTTGAGTTTGCGTAGAGTGGTAAGAGTGGGTCTACCTGTGGACTTGAATCTGTGTAGAGTATTGCGTGTAATCCCCCTCGTGTTAAACACGAGTTGCATCATGTGCTCTGGTTTCCCTCCACGTGAAGCCAAACTCTCATTAATGTGTTGTGTTGTAAACATGACAAATCAACTTCTTTATGAGGCACACGTTGTTTATTGTATTTTACTGCAGGGTCCCTAGCAGGAAGAGTATATCGGTCCCTTCACCCGCTTCCTAGGGAGCTATGGCCTCCGAACTATACGGGACCTACTCTGGTGACCCGTTCCCTATTGTCCTCCGACTGGGACCTAGGGGAGGCTAATTGACCCTGACCTCCTGGTCCGTGGGTCCTGACCACTGGCCTCACTGAGCTCCAGCCCTTAGACTGCAGAGCTTGGGGTCCAGGGTCCTATTCTCCAGCCCGGGCTTCAGTCTTCGGCGTGTAGATAACTGAGCCAGAGATCCCCGAGCAATGGCTTATATACAAGTTCGTGGCCGGCTCCGCCCTGGCCACGCCTTCCTTCTGGAACACTCTCAGGTGACATCATTCCCCCAGTTCCCCCCCACCCAGGGGCCCGGGGAATGTGTCCCAGGATCCGTTAACTGGGATCCACCATTGGCCTCTCTGGCCCATGGCATTTGCCCTGGCGAGGTAACGCCTCTGCACTCTATTGACGGTAAGTGGAATGACAGGCTGTTGAATGGTGAGTGACAATCACCCCTACAAATGTACCGTCATTGAACATAGATCTCAGAGCAGTGCCTTCTTGAAATGGAGTTGAAATGGAGTTGTGAGACTTATTGGGACATTTCTGGATAATTAAAGGGCACCACATAACTTTGTTATTATCTGTTACGTGTTGACGTAGACATCAAGTACAGAGATAATTATTCACGGTTTACATGAAATGCGGCCGTCACCTTCTTCATCTCTCTGTTCGTCACGTTCTCTGCATAGTGTCTGGGCATCGTGAAATACTGGAGGACGATGTGGCTCAGGCTGGACGTCGGTGGGGAGAAGGAGCAGGGAATAGTCACGTTCTCTCCCTCCCTCACAGACAAACTCTGCGGAAGAGTGATCTGGAGCATCGCAGCCGATGCCGCATCTACAGGGAGACCGGTCACACTCGTTACAGATACAGGGAATATCCCTCAGTTTATAATACAGGTTGTTTGAGTTAGGGCGCGTATATATATAAATGTGTCATTAAACCTGCCACCACCCGACACAGCCAACTAGTAAGGGTTGTCACGTCAACAGAACGTGCCAATTCGTCACTAGTACAGCACACCGGTGTGATGGAGAGCCAAGCCACAACATTTACAATCTGAGTACGACGTTTCGCCAGTAATTACAACGGGCATCATCAGGCGACAGCCAGATTTGTGGAGATATCCTCCTGTTTCTTTCCTTAAATAGAGGGGTAGATGAGATGACATCACTTGTGGGCAACTTCTTGCGTGAAGTGTGGGGGGGTGAATTAATGAATGTTTATAAATGACTATGGGTATCCATTGCCAGGTAGGTTATTTGCATGGTTCGGTTAACGAAATTTCTCCTTAAACGAAAGTGATATATTATGAACTCTTTTCCATTTGGAAAATCAAATTTCCACGTGAAGGAAATTTCACCGGGACCCGCACAGTGACGTCATCAAACAAAAAGGACCTGGGAAGCTGCATCACCCATCGGCGACAGCGTCACGCTACCTCCACAGTGCACAACAGCAACGTCTACACATCACCTTTACAAAGGGCTGATTATTTATGCTTTAATTATTCTTCAATCGTGTTTAATCTGTATGTTTTTTCGTATTATTTCAGTGATATAGGTGATGCATATTTTTTAGTTTCGGAGTATATTTGGAATTAATGTCCGAAACACATCCATCATTTTTAGTATTAAATTGCAGTCAAGGGAAAAGCCATTCCGATTACTGAAATGTCGTTTAATCTACAGAGACATCGCTTACACTCGTTACGCCACTCTGCAAAGGTTCGTTCAGTGGTAACAGGGATCTTGAAAACGCCGTTAAACACAGGGGTGCTACACCATCTACATTTGTAATTGTGGAGAAGAGATCAATAAAACTACGACCTCAATGGAAGCTACGACACGGTGAGCTCCGCGTAGCATCAGCTGTCAGAGAGGAACTCCGCTCACCTGGTGAGTGAGCGCAGTGAAACGTCTCCCCCTCGACCAAATCCTAGGGCTGCCTCCCCCCCACCGTCAGTGCCCAGACTCAGAGCGGCCGCTCGCGAGCCGAGTCTCAGCGGAGCGCGTGGCCCGGGAGCCACTGGCACGGCCAGGGCGGTGTCACAGGGGTCACATGACCCGTGACCTCATCGTGACGGTGGTTTATTAAAAACTAAAAAACTATTCTAATTAGCAGGTAAGGCCCACTGAGCTATGTAGCTCTTTTTTTACAAAAGTGACCTGGCCACAAATGACCGCTCAACGAAGTGGCTTGTGTCGTGCTGAAATTTACAGCAGCAAAATAATCGGAATGCACGTTGATTATAAATGTGGAGGATAAAACCAGAGGACCCGGAGACAAATCCACGTGACCACAGGCAGAGAGACACACAAACTCCAAAGATACAGCAGGCGCCAGGGTCGGAATCGAACCCACAACCTCCTGCGTTCCAGGCGAGGGAGGTAACAGTGAACTCTCACCTGGCTAACGAAAGGGCACCGTCCAATGTGTGCTGGGTGAGTGGCTCTGGGTGTGAACTCACCCAGAAGGGAGATGAACAGTGGGATGAGGACCAGCTTCATGGTCGGCTGTCTGCTGATGATCACAAGTGAGAATGAGTCATTAGTCCATCTCTCAGCTCACTCCAATGGTTCATGCTCCCTCACATTCACATCACTCCGCTTCTACATCTTTCCATTTGTGACGTCACTGACGAGATTCATCTTTTGGATTTAGTTATCCCAACTTTAATAACATAAACACACGCTTCATTTGAACATGCTGCATATACACTAAGGCTGAACGATTTGGGGAAAATATCTAATTGTGATTTTTCTGACAGATATTGTGATTTGATTTACGATAATGTTTTAAGTCAAGCGTCAGTTCAATATTCACTGTAAATAGATTTAAAACATGTGATGGAGCATTACCACATGATCCCATCAAAATATGAACTACAGTGGTACCCCGGAGATCGAACTTAATTCGTTCCAGAAGGCCATTCTAGCACCAATTTGTTTGAACACCGAATTAATTTTACCCATAAGAATTAATGTAAATTACATTAATTGGTTCCAGACACAAGAAATATCTCATTATAAAGCATTTTTACACGAAGTTTACAGTAATTACATGTGTAGGGGTGTTGCGGGAAGGAAACACACAGTTACATAGCGGTGGCCACAAACACGTCCGCTACAGCCACCAACCTGGGGGGGCTGCAGGGGGGATATTCGATCCCTCACAGCCCCGCCCCTCGGTGGTGAATTGGTATAAAAGGCAGGGAGCCAGAGAGCTCGGGGCAGAGTGTTGGGGTAAGCCACGAGCGAAGAACCAGTGAAGAAGGCCGGCTAGATAGATCCTGGGACTACCCTGACCGCTGCCCTTTTCAGGGCCGGCAGGGTAAGCCAGTGGTGCGGCCCAGAACCTCAGAGCCGGAGCCTTTTTAAGGGTCGGTCTGTCTGGTTTGGTGCCGTGACCTGTGCTTGACCAGGGCCAGGTCAGATAGCCTCCAGTAGAGCCTGTAGCGGAGGAACTGGGAACATAGTGGTTAGGCTGATTAGCTAGAGGGTGTCCCAGTGTGTATACGGGTGAAGGGGCCGTTACCCCTTCTCAGTGTAACCCTGCCAAGCTGTAATAAATAGTGCTGCCTCTACTTCATCGTCTCTGTCCTCTGTGAACCCACTACACATGCATAAAATCATACAAAAAAACAAGAAACACAATAAATAAATGGAATAAATATGTGGAATAAATGAAATAAATGGACATTGAACTTCACTTTACCTGTAGTAAGGGGAGTTGATGGCTTGAGTGAAAGGTGGTGAGGAGGAGGAGGTGGTGGTGTTATTGTTTGGAAGTGCAGTCCCTTTCCATAATAACGTCGGGTAACTGCCCTTCTGGTGTTCTTTCTCTTTTGTGCCTCTTGTCTGCCACTAACTGTGAGTCACTTGAGCTCTTTCTGACTAAAAACTTATCTAAAGAGGTTTGTTTCTGCCTTTCATACGGTAAAACCGTTGTCTGGGCAAGCGTCATGCACGCTGGGCCATACGCGTCTCAGCCGTACAGGTTCTTTCAAGTCGCGATTGCCCGTTCGACCTCCGAATTTCGTTCGGTTTCGGGGCAAAAAATGTTCGGAAATATCGTTCGAACACCGATTTGTTCGAGTTCTGGTGCGTTCGATCTACTGCTGTCCCTCCCGGCCATATCTAGTGCCACACCCAACTCTACCACTGGCAACTGTGATTATTTCTCGTCCGTACTTGATGCTCCATTTGCCACAATACCTGCTAGTGAAACAGCTTATAGCCACTTCTACACTCCATCATTGTATCCTTTTAAACCCTATCTCTGTCCCATTACTTTACCAGCACTCCTTCCTAACTTCATTCTGCTCTTAAAAACGTTGCCATCTGTGAGCTGCTGCTATTCGACCAAGGTTCGCCACTCTTCATCTTTTCACAGAAAATACCTGTGCAAACTATTAATTCTACTTTTTTATTTCTGGGAGGTATTGAGCCTCACCCTGGCCCAAAGTTAAAGAACTCATTTAATTCTATAGATTTTTCTGGCAGAAAAAGTGTTGGTGTTCTACACAGAGCATTTAAATACGGTGTTTTTTTCTGGATGTTTCTGTTGAGCATAGTCACTTTAAGATGTTTCTTGTTCATGTTTTTGTTTGTTGCGGGTGCACCCGAGTCAAGAACCGCATGGCACACAGGGCTCTATACCTAACACGCGGCTGCCCGCTACCGGTCCAGCAACAGGCGGGCACCCCACCAAAACTTTGCTGACCACGCGACTGCCGTGTATCCGTAGCTGGGGGGGGGATTGGTAGAAAATAGTCCAGACCCATGTGTGTGTGTTGCGTGTGATAGTGCTCTGTGTGTGAGTGCTGTGTGATAGTGCTGTGTGTGTGTGCTGTGTGCGTGCTGTGTGTGTGTGTTGCGTGTGATAGTGCTCTGTGTGTGCTGTGTGTGTTGCGTGTGATAGTGCTGTGTGTGTGAGTGCTGTGTGTGTTGCGTGTGTGTGTTGCATGTGATAGTTCTGTGTGTGTGAGTGCTGTGTGTGTGTGTGTTGCGTGTGATAGTGCTCTGTGTGTGAGTGCTGTGTGATAGTGCTGTGTGTGTGTGTGCTGTGTGTGTGTGCTGTGTGTGTGTTGCGTGTGATAGTGCTTTGTGTGAGTGCTGTGTGATAGTGCTGTGTGTGTGTGCTGTGTGTGTGTGTGCTGTGCGTGTGATAGTGCTCTGTGTGTGTGTGCAGTGTGTGTTGCGTGTCATAGTGCTGTGTGTGTGAGTGCTGTGTGTGTGAGTGCTGTGTGTGTGTTGCGTGTGATAGTGCCCTGTGTGTGCTGTGTGTGTTGCGTGTGAAAGTTCTGCGTGTGTTGCGTGTGTGTGTTGCGTGTGATAGTGCTCTGTGTGTGAGTGCTGTGTGTGTTGCGTGTGATAGTGCTCTGTGTGTGAGTGCTATGTATGTGTGCTGTGTGTGTGATAGTGCTGCGTGTGTGATAGTGCTGTGTGTGTGATAGTGCTGTGTGTGTGCTGTGTATGTGTGCTGTGTGTGTGTTGCGTGTGATAGTGCTCTGTGTGTGAGTGCTATGTATGTGTGCTGTGTGTGTGATAGTGCTGTGTGTGATAGTGCTGTGTGTGTGATAGTGCTGTGTGTGTGTGCTGTGTATGTGTGCTGTGTGTGTGTTGCGTGTGATAGTGCTGTATGTGTGCTGTGTGTGTGATAGTGCTGTGTGTGTGTGATGTGTATGTGTGCTGTGTGTGTGATAGTGCTGTGTGTGTGCTGTGTGTGTGATAGTGCTGTGTGTGTGTGCTGTGTATGTGTGCTGTGTGTGTGTGTTGCGTGTGATAGTGCTGTGTGTGATAGTGCTGTGTGATAGTGCTGTGTGTGATAGTGCTCTGTGTGTGTGCTGTGTGTGTGTGTTGCGTGTGATAGTGCTGTGTGTGTGTGCTGTGTGTGTGGGTTGCGTGTGATAGTGCTGTGTGTGTGATAGTTCGGTGTGTGTGATAGTGCTGTGTGTGTGTGTTGCGTGTGATAGTGTTGCGTGTGATAGTGCTGTGTGTGTGTGCTGTGTGTGTTTCGTGTGATAGTGCTGTGTGTGTGAGTGTTGTGTGTTGTGTGTTGCGTGTGATAGTGCTGTGTGTGTGAGTGCTGTGTGTGTGTGCTGTGTGTGTGTGCTGTGTGTGTGTGCTGTATGTGTGTGCGATAGTGCTATGTGATAGTGCTGTGTGTGTGTTGCGTGTGATAGTGCTGTGTGTGTGAGTGCTGTGTGTGTGAGTGCTGTGTGTGTGAGTGCTGTGTGTGTGTGCTATGTATGTGAGTGCTGTGTGTGTGTGTGTGCTGTGTGTGTGTTGCGTGTGATAGTGCTGTGTATGTGAGTGTTGTGTGTGTGCTGTGTGTGTGTGCTATGTATGTGTGCTGTGTGTGTGTGCTGTGTGTGTGTGCTGTGTATGTGTGCTGTGTGTGTGAGTGCTGTGTGTGTGTGCTGTGTGTGTGCTATGTATGTGTGCTGTGTGTGCGAGTGCTGTGTGTGTGAGTGCTGCGTGTGTATGCTATGTATGTGTGCTGTGTGTGTGTTGCGTGTGATGGTGCTCTGTGTGTGAGTGCTATGTGTGTGTGCTGTGTGTGTGTGCTGTGTGTGTGTGCTATGTATGTGTGCTGTATGTGTGTTGCGTGTGATAGTGCTGTGTGTGTGAGTGCTGTGTGTGTGTATGTGCTGTGTGTGTGTGCTATGTATGTGTGCTGTGTGTGTGTGCTGTGTGTGTGCGCTGTGTGTGTGTGCTATGTATGTGTGCTGTGTGTGTGATAGTGCTGTGTGTGTGCTGTGTATGTGTGCTGTGTGTGTGATAGTGCTGTGTGTGTGCTGTGTGTGTGATAGTGCTGTGTGTGTGTGCTGTGTATGTGTGCTGTGTGTGTGTGTTGCGTGTGATAGTGCTGTGTGTGATAGTGCTGTGTGATAGTGCTGTGTGTGATAGTGCTCTGTGTGTGTGCTGTGTGTGTGTGTTGCGTGTGATAGTGTTGCGTGTGATAGTGCTGTGTGTGTGATAGTGCTGTGTGTGTGAGTGTTGTGTGTTGCGTGTGATAGTGCTGTGTGTGTGAGTGCTGTGTGTGTGAGTGCTGTGTGTGTGTGTGCTGTGTGTGTGTGCTGTATGTGTGTGCTGTGTGATAGTGCTGTGTGATAGTGCTGTGTGTGTGTTGCGTGTGATAGTGCTGTGTGTGTGAGTCCTGTGTGTGTGAGTGCTGTGTGTGTGAGTGCTGTGTGTGTGTGCTATGTATGTGTGCTGTGTGTGAGTGCTGTGTGTGTGTGCTGTGTGTGTGTTGCGTGTGATAGTGCTGTGTATGTGAGTGTTGTGTGTGTGCTGTGTGTGTGTGCTATGTATGTGTGCTATGTGTGTGTGTGCTGTGTGTGTGTGCATGTGTGCTGTGTGTGTGAGTGCTGTGTGTGCTGTGTGTGTGCTATGTATGTGTGCTGTGTGTGCGAGTGCTGTGTGTGTGAGTGCTGCGTGTGTATGCTATGTATGTGTGCTGTGTGTGTGTTGCGTGTGATGGTGCTCTGTGTGTGAGTGCTATGTGTGTGTGCTGTGTGTGTGTGCTGTGTGTGTGTGCTATGTATGTGTGCTGTATGTGTGTTGCGTGTGATAGTGCTGTGTGTGTGAGTGCTCTGTGTGAGTGCTGTGTGTGTGTGTGCTGTGTGTGTGTCCTATGTATGTGTGCTGTGTGTGTGTGCTGTGTGTGTGCGCTGTGTGTGTGTGCTATGTATGTGTGCTGTGTGTGTGAATGCTGTGTGTGTACTGTGTGTGCGTGCTGTGTGTGTGCTATGTATGTGTGCTGTGTGTGTGTGATAGTGCTGTGTGTGTACTGTGTGTGTGCTGTGTGTGTGTGCTATGTATGTGTGCTGTGTGTGTGTTGCGTGTGATGGTGCTCTGTGTGTGAGTGCTGTGTGTGAGTGCTGTGTGTGAGTGCTGTGTGTGTGAGTGCTGTGTGTGTTGCGTGTGATAGTGCTGTGTGTGAGTGCTATGTGTGTGCTGTGTGTGTGTTGCGTGTGATAGTGCTGTGTGCGTGATAGTTCTGTGTGTGTGTGCTGTGTGTGTGATAGTGCTGTGTGTCTGTGCTGTGTGTGTGTGCTGTGTGTGTGGGCTGTGTGTGTGCTGTGTGTGTGTTGCGTGTGATAGTTATGTGTGTATGAGTGCTGTGTGTGTGTGCTGTGTGTGCTGTGTGTGTGTTGCGTGTGATAGTGCTGTGTGTGTGAGTGCTGTGTGTGTGTGCTGTGTGTGATAGTGCTCTGTGTGTGAGTGCTGTGTGTGTGTGTTGCGTGTGATAGTCCTAAAGTTTCGCCTAAGCTTGTTAAATGATCGAAGAAAATGTTTAGTTTCCAAGCGTTTACCCACGACATTGGTAAAGCTAATTTGGATATAGCGAGCAGAATTTCTCTTCTTGATACAGCTTGGACATTTTTCAGGAACCAATTCCATCAAATACTTGACAAACATGCTCCTTTAACGAAATTTAAAAAAATACCATCCACCTTGGTTTAACCCACAAATTGAAGCGCAGATATGAAGCTCGGTGGTTAACAAAGGAAGAACGATCTTGAGACCGACCGGTTACAGATATAATGTTGCATAATCGCTCCCTGAGATTGATGCGTAATGCAACAATTGCATACATTACATCATGGAATTCACATGGTAATCCAAAGGTCTTCTGGAAAACCATGACAACTATTGAGCACATCTTGATTTAAAGCTTTCGTGACTGCAGTAATTCATATTCTTTGGTTGTTATTTGTTTTACTCCCCTGCCGCGCCTCACCGCACGTCCCTGCATCTCTCGCTCCACTCACCACCAGCGCTTAAAGTAGGACAGGGTAAGCCGGCATGCATTCCGCTGACGGAACAAGCAGTCGGTGTGAGCAGCAATCGAACACAAACACCAGTTCAAAATGCGTTTGTATACGTACGTTATTCATGTTGTTACGGATAATTTAATCATCGATGCATGGGGACATTACGGGGTTGTTTTCACACTCCCTGTGCCCAGTTCACGCGCAGTCCGTGTGCAGGTTGAGTAAAGGTTCTGATTTTAAGTACTCACCACAACCTGTCCGGTGTCTCGTCTCTACTCTTGTCCCGCGTCTCTGTCTCCCTTGTCCCGTGTCTCCCGTCCCGTCTCTCTCTCGAGTCTCGAGTGAATTGTCCCCCTCCCACGCCCGCTCAGCAGCAGTCCGCAGTCCGCCTCCCGCACGAGGCCCACAGCCACCCTCCGCGCGTGCGCCCGGACGAGTGGCGACGCGAGCCGGGGGCAGCGCCACGCGCCCTGGACAGCCGGCGAGGGCACGTGACGAGTTGGGCGAGGCAACGGGCTTCACCCCCCCCCCCGCCATTGGCCTGTGCACGAAGCAAGCTCCGCCCATCGCAAGCCCCGCATCCCCATTTGTCCCCGCAAACAACAAGCGTGCTCTGCCTGTGTGGGCGGACACCCTCCGTGTGTTTTGCCCTTTAAAGTCTCGCTTCCGGAACCCACCCCAACAATTTGTTAACACCTCCACAACCCCCACGGTCTCCACTATCCCTACAACCCCCACGGCCCCCACGATCCCTACAACCCCCACGGTCTCCACTATCCCCACAACCCCCACGGCCCCCACTATCCCTACAACCCCCACGGCCCCCACTATCCCTACAACCCCCACGGCCCCCGCTATCCCTACAACCACCACTGCCCCCACTATCCCTACAACCCCCACGGCCCCCACCCGCTGACAAGGGGCGGCTTAACCGGGCCTCGTGTCGACCCCAGCGCTGCACCGCGACTCCTCTGGTGTTGGAGTCGTCCACGGCGCGGTTGTGTTTGGTGATCATCATCGTCACTGCAGATGGCACCGTGCTGTTTCTGGGCGCGTCTCGAGACGCCGGACAGTGCCGTGGATGGGGGAGACGTCCCCTGGGTCCCTTCAGCAAGCCGCAGTTACCGGCGTGGTGAAGTATGGTCAAACTTCACCCCCCACACAGAGGCGAGGTTGTGAGTGGTGGGGGTACCCACACTCTACCCCTACACCCCAGCACCACCACACACACACAGAGGCGTGGTTGTGAGTGCTGGGGGTACCCACACTCTACCCCTACACCCCAGCACCACCACACACACACAGGCCTGGTTGTGAGTGCTGGGGGTACCCACACTCTACCCCTACACCCCAGCACCACCACACACACAGAGGCGTGGTGGTGAGTGGTGGGGGTACCCACACTCTACCCCTACACCCCAGCACCACCACACACACACAGGCCTGGTTGTGAGTGGTGGGGGTACCCACACTCTACCCCTACACCCCAGCACCACCACACACACAGGCCTGGTTGTGAGTGGTGGGGGTACCCACACTCTACCCCTACACCCCAGCACCACCACACACACACACAGGCCTGGTTGTGAGTGCTGGGGGTACCCACACTCTACCCCTACACCCCAGCACCACCACACACACACAGGCCTGGTTGTGAGTGCTGGGGGTACCCACACTCTACCCCTACACCCCAGCAGCAGGAGGGGGAGGGGCGAGTTGCAGGGCTGCGAGTGGTGACGTCACGCGCCGCGTGTTGGGTGCACGCGGCGCGTAGGGGCTCAGCCGTGGTCTATCCGCTGCTGGATGAAGGCCCCCTCCCAGCCTTCGCCATCTTCCCTCGGGCCCCGCGATGCCACAACGCCGCCTCGCCGCTGCACGCGAGCGGAATCCACCGCTCCGTCTCCACGGCGAACGTCTCCCGGGCGCGTTCCGCTGCTCCCTCCCGTGGCTGCCACTCCACGGTTCGTGTCCACTGCCGGCCACGCCACCCCTCCCCTCGCGAGACAAGCCCCGCCCACTTCGTTCAGCCCCGCCTACTCTCAAAGCCCCGCCCCCCTATAGAAGCACCTGTACCCCGCGTGAACCCGCCAACTCTCCGTGTCCCCGGAGCGGCTCGCTACCCGCACTATTTTCCGCGCCGTGTGTCCGTGCGCGCCGCCTCCGTGTTCGGTTCGAGTCCTCCGGGCGGATGTTGACTTCTTGTCGCGGCCGTCTCGCTGGGTACGGGGGGAGGGGTCGCTTTAACCGAGGAGTTGGGCGAGGGAGAGGCACGGACTACTTCGTCTGCAGCGCTCGTGTCGCCGCGGAGGCCGCTTCACTCGGCACCGCGCCCGTGAAGGCGGGAAACCGGCTGTGGGTGCGCGTGACGGAGACACGGGGAGAGACGGAGACACGGGGGGAGTGAGACAGAGACACGGGGGGAGACGGAGACACGGGGGGAGTGGGACGGAGACACGGGGAGAGTGAGACAGAGACACGGGGGGAGACGGAGACACGGGGGGAGTGGGACAGATGCACGGCTTGGGAATTGAAAGACACGGGGAGAGAGATACAGGCACAGCGAGACAGCACACAGAGACACGGAGAGACGCAGGGAAGGAAAGACAGAGACACGGGGAGACTCGGAGGGAGACGCAGGGTGAGGGAGACGAACCACAGCAGCAGCAGGAGGAGCACCACCAACAACCACCACCCAGCACCACCAACAACCACCAGCACCACCCACCAGCACCACCAACAACCACCAGCACCACCCACCAGCACCACCAACAACCACCAGCACTACCAACCACCACCAGCACCACCACCAACAACCACCAGCACCACCCACCAGCACCACCAACAACCACCACCCACCAGCACCACCAACAACCACCACCAGCACCACCACCAACAACCACCAGCACTACCAACCACCACCATCACCAACAACCACCAGCACCACCAACAACCACCACCCACCAGCACCACCAACAACCACCAGCACCACCAACAACCACCAGCACCACCAACCACCACCAACAACCACCAGCACCATCCACCAGCACCACCACCAACAACCACCAGCACCACCACCAACCACCACCAACAACCACCAGTACCACCAACCACCACCAACAACCACCAGCACCACCAACCACCACCAACAACCACCACCAACAACCACCAGCACCACCAACCAGCACCACCAACAACCACCACCATGGTGCTCTTCGGGCTGCTACGTGGCGAGCAGCAGAAGGCGACACGGCACAATCCCATTGTGAAGAAGAATCCCATTGTTGTACTGCGCTTCTATGCCCCCGCGGCTACCAACACGCACCACGAGGAGGGGTCTCAAAAATGGGATTTTGCATAGCCCCCCACCCCCACGTTGTGACGGGGGGCTGAGCCCCCGGTGGGCCGGGGGCTCAGCCCCCGGCCAACCGGGGGCTGAGCCCCCGGTTGGCCGGGACCCTACGGGGCTGAGCCCCCGGTGGGCTGGGGGGACCCTGCGGGGCTGAGCCCCCGGTGGGCTGGGGGGACCCTGGTGGGCTGGGGGGTCCCTGGTGGGCTGGGGGGACCCTGCGGGGCTGAGCCCCTGGTGGGCTGGGGGGACCCTGCGGGGCTGAGCCCCCAGTGGCTGGGGGGACCCTGCGGGCTGAGCCCCCAGTGGGCTGAGGGGACCCTGGTGGGCTGGGGGGACCCTGGTGGGCTGGGGGGACCCTGCGGGCTGAGCCCCTGGTGGGCTGGGGGGACCCTGCGGGGCTGAGCCCCTGGTGGGCTGGGGGGACCCTGCGGGCTGAGCCCCTGGTGGGCTGGGGGGACCCTGCGGGGCTGAGCCCCCGGTGGGCTGAGGGGACCCTGGTGGGCTGAGGGGACCCTGGTGGGCTGAGGGGACCCTGGTGGGCTGGGGGGACCCTGCACCGCTCTCGCCTGGAACTTTTCTCAGCGGCCAGGGAGTAGCGACCGGCTGGGAGCCCTCGTGGGCTTGAGCCCAGCGAAGGGCACTGTGGAACAAGATGCGATGATTGACAGACAAGACTCGGTGTTTTATGTTAAATAAATATATATTTATTGCCTTATTGGGTCTGAAACGATCACCATATCCCGAAATAAAGGGACAAGTCTTTTACACCAATTTTTTTTGTCGCAAATATTGTAAATCAGTTATTCTCTACACCAATGCTTTTTAAATAGCCAATGTTTGCAAGATACAGATTTCATAAAACAATATTTACAACCATAAATACAAAATATGGACCTTAAAGACAAATAGTTCCCAATACTAAATATGTAATACATGAGGCGTCTAAACCAATGGCTTACTGTCACTAAAAATATGGGTCTTCTACAAGTGGTTCCCACCCTTTCTAGACCCACGTTCACTGCCAACCCTCTACACGTGAGGAAGAACTTGCAGTAACAAAAGAATGACTTTGTGAGTGACATCGTGGTGTCTTCAACCGCTCTGCAGAGCAATTGGTGTACGGTGCTTTTTTCAGGAATATTTTGCTGTTTTTTTTTCCATGGATTTTCTGTTTGCACAGTCACATAGTCACTTTAAGATGTTTTCTTGTTCGTGTTTTTTTGTTTGTTGTGGTTGCACCCGATTCAAGAGCCGAATGGCTCACAGGGCTATACCAAAATAAATAAACTGAATTCCCATGGCCTTGTGGATTGCCATGGACTGCGATCCAGAGGTCAGGAACCACTCCTCTCTATCCATACTTCCCAACCGTAAATAGTTTACAGTTTATTTTTTTAAAGTTTTTTTTTAGAATTGCCCTGTAAAGCTAAGAAGCTCTTGAATCGGGTTTCATCAACAAAACAGAAACACTGTAACATTTTAAACATAACGTTTGTAACAGGTCACATAAAAATAAAATAAACTGTACATTAAGATTCAAGAAACATATTGCAAAATAGTCCATCTAGTGTGAGGAATAACATTCGATCAAATATTGCAAAACGAGGACTAGAAACGCCTTTGGTAAAATAGTTTTCCTGTGCAAACAACAAATTCGAAGTAACACGAGTAATAACAATCACCATGACATTGCATACATTACAACAGCACAAGACTCATATACAGAATAAAAAATAAACAGCATTGGTCAGCGAGACCGTTTACCAGTAGTAAAAATACAATGTACATATATATTACTTTGTGGCAAGTTTAAGGCAGGTACAATAATAATTCGTGACAAAACGTGTCAAACATTCCCAGTGCAGGAACCCTTTGAGTCATCGACTCGTGCATTGCGTTTACGACGCCCACACAGATTCTGGTCCCTTCAACCACACACAAGTCAGACTGCACCACAACCACTCCACTACCACCCCTTCCTCTCGCTCACACTTGTACACACACACAACTCGCACATTAACTCAGGTTCACACACAGACACACAATGCTGACACATTCAGTAGAGCAGGAAGGGGGTGCAGGAAATGTCATGGAGAGAAGGAAGACAGCGGTAGGGCAGCCCAGGTGAGGAGAGACACAGACAGAGAGAAAGTCGGGAACTTCTGGAGCCTGGACGTAAGCAGGGGGAGTCTACGGTGAGAGCGGCGGAGCGCTATGGAGTTGAGGGTTCACGAATCACAGATTTGTGACACTCCCCTGAACCCACTGGGCTATGAAGTGGCCAGGAATAGGCAGTGGGGCAAGTGGGACTGACTCCCATCTGCGTGAACTTTTGAAGGTAACTCCAGTTAACTCCCACGTGTATAATCTACAATTGTACAGACATTGAGTGGTTGACTGAAGGTTTTGACAGAAGGCCTTGGTTGCTGGAGTGGAGAACACGTGGTGGTGGGGAGTGCAGGGGGTCCCTGATGCTCATTGTCTCTCTCTACACACAACCCTGCCTTGTTTCGCACTCACGTCGCAGACATGTTGAGGAACGCAACGTAACATTTCCCCGCACGCACACAAACACACACGTGTATATATACACACGTTGTTATGTCGTTTGAACTCCGTTCAGCCGAGCCAAGTCACACACATTGTGGTGGGTGCAGAGCGGTTAGCACGTGGCGGTTAGCGCTACACTACGAGCCCGGCGACCCGACTGCGATTCCCGCTCACGGCCAACACCGGCGACGATTATCGATTCTGAATAATCGATTTCAACTTGGCTCAGCTGAGCTCACTTCTGAGGTGGGGGCAGTGTAGAGGTACTGTACAACTCACGCATGCACTGCCACCTTCAGTGCCATCGTGATCTCTGGCCTGCGTAGCTACGAGTGTTCGTTGTAATCGACGCAACCCTTCAACACAACTCATCCACTCCTCAAGGTAAGATCGTAAACAATGTAGGTTAAGGTAACATCTTTTTTAAAAAATGCTGTTCAAGATTTAATCCTTTTTTCCACAAAAAAAATGTTTCTGCTCGAGGCCTTTGCTTACAAATGTCACAAATTTGTTTTTCTGTTAAGAAAAGAAAAACTGTTTAAAGTGTAGAGGGCTGCTTCGAAATGCTACTAAAGCTGGTTTTCAATAAAGTGTTTTCCAAGTTGAAATGCTGTTTAACAGTTCTTTAACGCAGAATTGGTTATAAATGTGTGTACATTGTGTTGTAAAGTTATGTACACAGAGTATGTAGTTGTCTGTACATGTAAAGTACGTATTTTGGTTTCTAGGTATGAAACAACACATTTCTATAAGGTACGGTCCCTATCCCTACCTCATTCCATTATTTCTCATGGGAGACACTGCCTCACTTTGCATCACATTGGCAATGTTTACACTCTTACGCTCCCCATCTCCCCCCCCCCCCTCATTAACACGGAGTAGTATTACTATAAGGTAAAAGTCCCCGCTATACATCGTTCCGTTATAAGTCGCAACTTTTCGATCCTTAACCCCAACGTATATTGGGGACGCCCTGAAGAGAGAAAGGAGAGGTGGTGGAGAGTCTATGGAGGATCGTGTAGGTGGAGAGTGCGATGTCTCAGTCGATTGGGGACCGGGTTGGGAGCCAGTGGGAGAATCTTGAGGATTGTCTGTGATGAGGTTTCATTTACAGAAGCTGTGAGTTGAGGCAGCAGCAGGATTCTGGATCATGTGGAATTTAGCGGTGAGGGATTTGAAGTGGCCAAAGATGAGTGTGGAGAGCCACAGAGAGGGAGAGAGATGGTCAGAGGAAGGTCTGTAAACAATCAGCTCATGAAGCACAGGCAGTCAGCACTGCACTCACGCATGGCACTGTGGGTAAGAGCGGCTCCACGTGCCGGCCAGGGTGGTCACGGGGGACCCCACGGAAGATTTCTTCAAACGGTGTCCGTGCCTTTGTCTCCGTTGTCCCCCTTGTGTTCATTCACCATCAGTGGATGCCCATTCTCCTTCACATTCACCATCATCAGTGGATGCCCATTCTCCTTCACATTCACCTCCATCAGTGGATGCCCATTCTCCTTCACATTCACCATCATCAGTGGATGCCCATTCTCCTTCACATTCACCATCATCAGTGGATGTCCATTCTCCTTCACATTCACCATCATCAGTGGATGTCCATTCTCCTTCACATTCACCTCCATCAGTGGATGCCCATCCTGCACATCACCGTCCACGTCTGCTTGCCCATCGCCACTGAGGAACAAAATCACGAGTTTACAAACCGCACGGTGCCTGCACCCAGCAACACCTGGACACAGTTCACGGGGAATCACCCCCCAGGTGCTCAGTGGTGCCGACTGAGCGCCTCTGAGAACCCAGCCCAGCCTCCTGTGTTTACGTTCAATCGTGCGGAGCTGGGCTGGGGGGATTCTGGGCTAGGGGGGGTGGAGGCACCTGTGTGAGCGGGGGGAGCTCCCAGACGACCAAGGGTGCATCTTCATGAAGAAGATGACAGCCGCAGACGCCAGGATCACGCCCGCCACCACTATCAACACCGTCACCACCGTGTCCCTCCAGGAGTGGACACGTGGTGTGGGCGAGGTCTCCCCGCGTGATCGTGCAGCTGCAGAGACACAGACGGCGGTTTCAAGAACCAAAGACTGAGAGAGAGTGGGGGGCTCAACGAGACCCCCACTCACACCCAGCACCACTCAGCGACTCAGCACGGCTTCACGTGCAGCAGGGCTAGATCGCTCACTCAACACGGCTTCATGTGCAGCAGGGAGAGACCACTCACTCAACATGGCTTCATGTGCAGCAGGGATAGACCACTCACTCAACATGGCTTCACGTGCAGCAGGGAGAGACCACTCAACACGGCTTCACGTGCAGCAGGGAGAGATTACTCACTCAACACGGCTTCACGTGCAGCAGGGAAAGACCACTCACTCAACACGGCTTCACGTGCAGCAGGGAGAGACCACTCACTCAACACAGCTTCACGTGCACCAGGGAGGGACCACTCACTCAACACGGCTTCACGTGCGGCAGGGAGAGACCACTCACTCAACACGGCTTCACTTGCAGCAGGGAGAGACCACTCACTCAACACGGCTTCACGTGCAGCAGGGAGAGACCACTGACTCAACACGGCTTCATGTACAGCAGGGAGAGACCACTCACTCAACACGGCTTCACGTGCAGCAGGGAGAGACCACTCACTCAACACGGCTTCACATGCAGCAGGAAGAGACCACTCACTCAACAAGGCTTCACGTGCAGCAGGGATAGACCACTCACTCAACACGGCTTCACGTGCAGCAGGGAGAGACCACTCACTCAACACGACTTCACGTGCAGCAGGGAGAGACCACTCACTCAACACGGCTTCATGTGCAGCAGCGAGATGCTCTCTCCAGCTCTGCACCCTGCACCCTGTGATCTGTGACCCTTGACCTCCCACCCACCACCGTCTGCACGAGCGACGGTGGTGGGTGGGAGGTCAAGGGTCACAGCGCCACCGTGTGGCGAGCGCGACGCTCCCCTCTCATTCACCTGCAACCGTCACGTTCAGCTTCACCTCTCGTTCCACCTTCCAGTTGTCCTTCCCACAGCTGATACAAATGACATCGCAATTGAACACGGGGCTGAGGGTCCTGGAGACGTTGAGGAGCCTGAGGGAGCAGTCACCCTTTTCCTTGTCTCCCGCAAACTCAGCTCTTCCAAGCCAGAGATTCCCGATAAGTGAGTCGTAGATCTGGAATGGCACAAAACACAAATTGGAGCATGAACCACAATCCTACTACGATCAAATCACAATGAACCTGAACTAATTGGATCTTCATAGCCAAGCAGGGTTGACCTTACTTAATACTTTGACTGGGGATGCCAAGGGTTGTAGGCTTGGGCTGCAAGATGGCCAGGACATTGTGATACAGCCATGGATTTGATTTGTAGATAATGTTAAAGAGTGCTTCTATCTATGGATTGAGTCTGTGTAGAGCTTTGCCCATCATCCCCATGTGTGGTGGGGTTTCTCTGGGTTATCCGGTTTCATCTCAACATGATTCAAAACCCTCACGAACTCAAATGGCAAGACCCTTCTCATTAATAGGGTCTTGCGACTTGGTGCGACATTCCTGGGTGATTAAGCGACTCTTTTATTATTCTGGAACGAAACAAACCCCTAAATAACATTGCATTACTCTCAATTACTGAGTTGAATATTCAGGGTTGACGTGGTAGGAGGTTCTCACATTGATGATATCATCTGTGCTTACTTACTATGTAGCCTGTGGGCATCGTGAGCCACGTGATGTAGAGGCCACTCGAGACGGTCGACGGCGAGGAGAATGAGCAGGGAAGAGTCACGCTCTCTCCCTCCGTCACATCCACGCTCTCCGGTAGGGAGAGCTGCAGCTCCACAGCAGACATCACAGCTACACAGGGAGAGAGAGACCGGGCACTCTCATGAGAGATGTCTCCACAGAGAGAGAGAGATCAGCAATACCCTATCACTGTATAGACAATACAGATGTCTAGATAGGGACCGGTTACTGTTGTTAAAGTGCTCACCACAGGTTTACTCAGCAAGAGCAGGGCCAGAGGGGGTCTAGATGCAGACGTTACACACAGAGTGGCACTGTAACATTCACGTTTACACTGACCAAGTGTCGGTGAATAACAAAATGAGGAGCTCACTTTAGAGCAGTGACCTAAAATTTGCTCCATTCAGCATCAGCTGTTTGAGAGGAAGACCGCTCACCTGGTGAGTGAGCGCCACTGCCTCCCTCACCGTCAGTGGTCACGAGGGCGGCGTGCGGGACGAGTCTCAGCGCGGCCACGGGAGGCACCGACGCTCACGGCTGCACGGGGGCCCTGGCACTGGGACCCCATCGCCACGACGTCATCGTGACGACGATTCACACTGGACTCTCAGCTGCTTCAACATCGCTTCTTTTCCACTGCACACCTGAGCCATGCTGGGACTGTGCCAAGCCGATGCGGCGCAGCTCAGGAGGGGGCCAGGTTGTTTTTCCACTGCAGAGGCTGAGCCGTGCCGTGAACGAGTCGCGATGCAAGGAGGTTGAAAATTATAAATGCTGCACCTGGCCCTGCTTGGCCCTGGGTGAGATTCCGATGTCTTATGAGGCCAGGGCTATTTGGTTCTGGCTCAGTGCAGCAAACTGCCAGTGGAAAACCACCAGGACCATCAGGACTCTGGGCTGGCAAGGCACGGTTGTGTCAGTGGGAAAGGGGTCTGAAGGAGACCGCCCCCCACGTGTGCTGAGTGAGTGCTTCTCGGTGTGAACTCACGCAGGAGGGAGATGAACGCCGCTGTGACCAGGAGCCACTTCATGGTGCCTCCGTCTCCTGATGAACACGGAAGAGAGTCGTTCATCGCATCTCTCGTTCCACTCACCACCAGCGGTTACAGTGGGGCATGGTGAGCCAGAATGCATTCCAATGAGGGAACAGACGGTTTGGTAGAGCAGCAATAAACCCATGAGGTTCTCAATTTATATAGTTACTGTAGTTATTTGCATGTACATTTTTATATTGACTCTAGTTATTTGCACGTACGTTTTTATATTGACTGTAGTTATTTGCACGTACGTTTTTATATTGGCTGTAGTTATTTGCATGTACGTTTTTATATTGACTGTAGTTATTTGCACGTACGTTTTTATATTGACTAGTTATATGCACGTACGTTTTTTATATTGGCTGTAGTTATTTGCATGTACGTTTTTATATTGACTGTAGTTATTTGCACGTACGTTTTTATATTGACTGTAGTTATTTGCACAGTACGTTTTTATATTGACTGTAGTTATTTGCACGTACGTTTTTATATTGACTGTAGTTATTTGCACGTACATTTTTATATTGACTGTAGTTATTTGCATGTACGTTTTATATTGACTGTAGTTATTTGCACGTACGTTTTTATATTGACTGTAGTTATTTGCATGTACGTTTCTATATTGACTGTAGTTATTTGCATGTACGTTTTTATATTGACTGTAGTTATTTGCATGTACGTTTTTCGCCGGCCAAAATACATTTGCAAGCTAAATAAAGGCTCTGCTTTGACATTCGTCCACTTTTGTCATTGGTCCATGCTCTGGTTCCTAACCAGACGAAAGTGCAAGGAATTCCTGTACATAGCTCAGTGGGGTCTTACCTGGTCAAATAAAAATAGTTTAGTTTGTTTTGGAGAATACAAGTAACACATAACAAGCACCTGTCCCTCCGCGTGAAAGAACACAAATATGTTGACTCATCCCATCAGCCACACGACCTACTGGAAGTGAATCATCTCAGCGGCAGGGGCTCAATGGAAGGAAATTCTGGAGCGGTTTCAACATTCACAGCTCATAGGAGGCACGGGGCCCACACATCACGTGACGCAGAAAATGTGTTACTGTTCATGTGAAGGACATGGTAACAATTATAATCTGTATTTAGATGGGAAGAATCCGATGAGCTATGCAGCTCTTTGTCGCAGATGAAGGCGTACAGTGAGGGAAACAAGTATTTGATCCCCTGCTGATTTTGTACGTTTGCCCACTGACAAAGAAATGATCAGTCTATAATTTTAATGGTAGGTTTATTTGAACAGTGAGAGACAATAACAACAACAAAATACAGAAAATCGCATGTCAATGTTATAAATTGATTTGCATTTTAATGAGGGAAATAAGTATTTGACCCACTCTCAATCAGAAAGATTTCTGGCTCCCAGGTATCTTTTATACAGGTGTTGAGGAGTAGAGGGATGACGGAATGTCACACTCGCCTCGGGAGGAGTGACGCCATGTCCCCTCGGGGTATTTGAGGGGGGACTGGTGACATAGAGGGGGTCTTCGCCAGGAGCCGGGTTCGTGAGCGGTAGGGAAGTGGGGACCCAGGGTAGGGGATAACTAGCTCCAGGCTAGGGGGGCTACTTCACCCGGCTGGCCGAGTTGGATAACCCATCGGTAAGCGCAGTGGGAAGAGGCTGTTAGCCTGGGAGTCGTAGGGATTCCCAGTACCCTTTCCCCTGGGGAGATTTAGCTTACCCAAGTCTTGTGTTGGCCCTTCCCCAAAAGCTAGACGACAGCCCTTAATAAACTGTTGGCGTCAGCCCCGACAACATCTGCCTTCGTGTCGTCATTTACAACACAAAACAGGTAATGAGCTGAGATTAGGAGCACACTCTTAAAGGGAGTGCTCCTAATCTCAGCTTGTTACCTGTATAAAAGACACCTGTCCACAGAAACAATCAATCAGATTCCAAACTCTCCACCATGGCCAAGACCAAAGAGCTCTCCAAGGAAGTCAGGGACAAGATTGTAGACCTACACAAGGCTGGAATGGGCTACAAGACCATTGCCAAGCAGCTTGGTGAGAAGGTGACAACAGTTGGTGCGATTATTCGCAAATGGAAGAAACAAAAAAGAACTGTCAATCTCCCTCGGCCTGGGGCTCCATGCAAGATCCCACCTCGTAGAGTTGCAATGATCATGAGAACGGTGAGAAATCAGCCCAGAACTACACGGGAGGATCCTGTCAATGATCTTAAGGCAGCTGGGACCATAGTCACCAAGAAAACAATTGGTAACACACTATGCCGTGAAGGACTGAAATTCTGCAGCGCCCGCAAAGTACCCCTACTCAAGAAAGCACATACATACCCATGCCCGTCTGAAGTTTACCAATGAACATCTGAATGATTAAGAGGACAACTGGGTGAAAGTGCTGTGGTCAGATGAGACCAAAATGGAGCTCTTTGGCATGAACTCAACTCGCCGCGTTTGGAGGAGGAATGCTGCCTATGACCCCAAGAACACCATTCCCACCGTCAAACATGGAGGTGGAAACATTATGCTTTGAGGGTGTTTTTCTGCTAAGGGGACAGGACAACTTCATCGCATAAAAGGGATGATGGACGGGGCCATGTACCGTCAAATCTTGGGTGAGAACCTCCTTCCCTCAGCCAGGGCATTGAAAATGGGTCGTGGATGGGTATTCCAGCATGACAATGACCCAAAACACACGGCCAAGGCAACAAAGGAGTGGCTCAAGAAGAAGAACATTAAGGTCCTGGAGTGGCCTAGCCAGTCTCCAGACCTTAATCCCATAGTAAATCTGTGGAGGGAGCTGAAGGTTCGAGTTGCCAAACGTCAGCCTCGAAACCTTAATGACTTGGAGAAGATCTGCAAAGAGGAGTGGGACAAAATCCCTCCTGAGATGTGTGCAAACCTGGTGGCCAACTACAAGAAACGTCTGACCTCTGTGATTGCCAACAGGGGTTTTGCCACCAAGTACTAAGTCATGTTTTGCAGAGGGGTCAAATACTTATTTCCCTCATTAAAATGCCAATCAATTTATAACATTTTTGACATGCGTTTTTCCGGATGTTTTTGTTGTTATTCTGTCTCTCACTGTTCAAATAAACCTACCATGAAAATTATAGACTGATCATTTCTTTGTCAGTGGACAAACGTACAAAATCAGCAGGGGATCAAATACTTTTTCCCTCACTGTACGTTCTGCTTGTTTGTGTTATATATAGTCCACATAACGACGATATGTATAATGATTATTGTTGTTGTAGTAGTGTAGTGTATAGTGTAGTGTATAGTGTAGTGTGTTGTGTAGCTGTGTAATGTGTAGTGTAGTGTATAGTGTAGTGTATAGTGTAGTATTGTAGTGTATAGTGTAGTGTATAGTGTAGTATTGTAGTGTATAGTGTAGTGTATAGTGTAGTGTATAGTGTAGTGTATAGTGTAGTGCATCTGGAACAGTGGACACGGCGAGTAACGTCACAGGGGATTTGGTGTGCTTTGAAATCAACCGAATCAAGCTTTGAAGATTTCCTACAACATTGGCAGCATTTTTGTTTAGGTTTCATAACTGAAGATGTTAAACAGCTGTTGACTTTACACGTCCTCGATTAACAACCGTAATGTACTGGTTATTTAAATAGGTGCAGCAAACGTGAGATGTTTGACTTTAGAAAATTATAGAATTCATAATGGGACATTTTTGCCAGTATCAATGTAGAAAATATAAGAATATTTGTTTACATTTATGTCCTATTCAGTTATTTAGTTTAATATATTGTCGATTATTGAGGATGCATTAAATCCGTTTATTTAAACGTGTCGTACATGTTTACGAACAGATATGATGAATAGAACAACAAATATTATCACGATGTCATGAACACCTTCAAGACGGATCTATTCACACTTTGTGTGCAGCATAAATAAAGGTGCTGATGTTGATGACTACTCACCCCCAGCCTCCTGTCACGTGTCTCTGTCTCTCTTGTCTCTGTCTCTCTTGTCTCTGTCTCTCTTGTCTCTGTCTCTCTTGTCTCTGTCTCTCTTGTCTCTGTCTCTCTTGTCTCTGTCTCTCTTGTCTCTGTCTCTCTTGTCTCTGTCTCTCTTGTCTCTGTCTCTCTTGTCTCTGTCTCTCTTCCTGTCCCGTGTCTTCTTATAACCTGACTGGCAGCACGATGACGTCACTGTTGGCATCTGGCGACCCCATTGGCCGCAACGAGGCAAGGGCCGCCCACCGCACCGTCCGCAACCAATCCGCGATGCGTTCCTGCAGACACCGTCACGCAGCATTCCTCCAGATACCGTCACTCAGCATTCCTGTACAGACACCGTAACTCACAACGCCCGCATTCTCGATTCTCGTTCTTTGTTTTTTCCGCTGTGAACTATGCGGGTCACGTGGCCTACTGTAGCTAGGTAAGAGTGCGTGGGCGCCGACCTTCAAAGGTGCTGCTCGCTTGCGGCTCACAGGGAGGTACCAAATAAATATAACTACACTGAAACCTGACCCCCACGAACCCTACAACTACCACGAACCCTACAACCACCACGAACCCTACAACCACCACGAACCCTACAACCACCACGAACCCCACTACCCCCACACTCCCCACGACCCCCACACTCCCCCCGGCCCCCCACACTCCCCACGGCCCCCCACACTCCCCACGGCCCCCAGCCGCTGGCAGGGGCGGCTCAGCCCGGCCTCGTGTCGACCCCAGCGCTGCACCGCGACTCCTCTGGTGTTGGGAGTCGTCCACGGCGCGGTTGTGTTTGGTGATCATCATCGTCACTGCAGATGGCACCGTGCTGTTTCTAAGTGTCCCGTTTCGGGGTGCGTCTCGAGACGCCGTGCAACGCCGCAGTGACCGGCGTGGTGAAGTATGGTCAAACTTCACCCCCCACGCAGAGGCGATGTTGTGAGTGGTGGGGGTACCCACACTCTACCCCAGCACCACACGCACACTGCAGGTTCTGCTGATGTGTGAGCAGCGTCACAGGAGTCACAGTGGCAGAGGTGTTGTGATTTTAACACTGAGTAGAGAGATAATATTAGTGGTGTAGTGGTATAAGTGACATTGTTAGTGAGTGTAACACTGTGAGTAGTGAGATAATATTAGTGGTGTAGTGATACAAGTGACATTGTTAGTGAGTGTAACACTGTGAATAGTGAGATGATAGTAGTGGTGTAGTGGTATAAATGACATTGTCAGTGTGTGAGTGTAACACTGTGAATAGTGAGATGGTATTAGTGGTGTAGTGGTATAAGTGACATTGTCAGTGTGTGAGTGTAACACTGTGAATAGTGAGATGGTATTATCGGTGTAGTGGTATAAGTGACATTGTCAGTGTGTGAGTGTAACACTGTGAACGCATAGTCCTGTAGGACCTCGAGCCAGCGCGACAATTGTCCGGATGGCTGGTCAACCCTCAGTTCAAAAACTCTTCTCGCCCTGGTCCAGGCCGCTTTGGGTCTCTATACTGTGTAGGTAGAAGCAAGTGGGCAGCTGTACCCAGCGTGAGATAGATACGGTGATTGAAAACACCATGCTGAGGTCAGCGAGTCACCCAACCCTCACACAGCGAAAAAAGGAAACATTTGTCCACGTCATGTAAACACCTTCTGTTTACGTGTAGTGAGCCCAAGGGCGAGAGGCGACACTTTTATTGAACAACTAAGCTACTGTAAAAGCCCGGTGGACCGTTTGTCCATTTCTCCAACAAAATTATAAGAAGCTTGCACAGGTCCAAAAAGTTATATTATGTGGGGGGTAAATAGTTGATCTAAAAGGTTTCTGAAAATTGTCGACCCCCCCCCCCCCTCAAAACATATATTTACCCCCACATAGGTATATATACCTACACACCCTATACACAACAGAGTAAGTAGTATCTATTGACTCTGTAGTTGTATCTACTAACTGTACAGTAGTATCTACTGAGCCAGTAGTAGCTACTGTGTAGTAGTATTTAGTGACTGTAATAGTATCTACTGACCCTACAGTAGTATGTACCGACTCTATAGTAGTAACAACTAACTCTATAGTAGTAGCTACTGACTCTATAGTAGTATTCACTGACTATAGTAGTAACTACTAACACTATAGCAGTATCTACT